GCAGGATATGCTCTTATGACTTCGATTATTTGTGAAAAGGCTAGGCAGCTGCACAATGATGTGGTAAAGAAATTGCCTGCAAATAGTGGTGATGTGAGTGAATTTAAGGCCAGCAAAGGTTGGTTTGATAGATTTAAGAACCGTACTGGCATACACAGTGTGTTAAGGCATGGTGAGGCTGCCAGTTCGGACCACAAGGTGGCTAAAAAATATGTGCATGAATTCAAGGGGTACATACAGGCTGAAGGACTGAAACATGTGATGAAACAGGCCTCTTTTGGATGAAAATGCCAGAGAGGACCTTCATTACACAGGAGGAAAAGGCAATGCCAGGACTCAAGCCTATGAAAGACAGGCTGATGTTCATTTTCTGTGCTAATGCTAGTGGGGATTTCTAAGTGAAGCCATTACTAGTGTACCATTCTGAAAATCCCAGTGTGTTCAGGAAAAACAATGTTATAAAGAGTAAATTGCTTGTGTTTTGGAAATCTAATAGTAAGGCATAGGTCACGAGGGAAATTTTCGTCCAGTGGTTCAATGAAGTGTTTGGCCCTAGTGTGAAGAATTACCTCCTGGAAAAGAAATTGGATCTCAAGTGCCTGCTAGTAATGGACAATGCACCTGCTCATCCTCCAAACTTGGATGACCTAATTTTTGAGGAGTTTGGGTTCATCACAATAAAGTTCTTGCCCCCGAATACCACTCCTCTCCTCCAGCCCATGGACCAGCAGGTCATTGCAAACTTTAAAAAACTCTACACCAAAGCAATGTTTCACAGGTGCTTGACTGTGACCACAGACACTCACTTGACCCTAAAGGAATTTTGGAGGGAACACGTCAGCATCCTCCATTGCATAACCCTTATAGGTATGGCTTGGGAGGTAGTGACTACCAGGACTTTGAACTCTGCTTGGAGAAAATTGTTGCCAGATTGTGTCGACAAGAGGGATTTTGAAGGGTTTGAGGCGGCCCCTGATGAGCCTATGTCTGTTGTTAAATCAATTGTGGCACTGTGGAGTTCCATTGGGTTGGATGTGAATTTGGAGGATGTGGAAGAGTTGGTGGATGACCACAAAGAAGAGCTCACCACTGAGGAGCTGCAAGAGCTTCAGCAGGAACAGCAACAGATAGCAGCTCAAAATCTTGCTGCAGAGGAGGAGGAAGAGAGATGGAAGGAGGTGCCTTCTTCAGAAATTAAAGAGATTTTTGCTATGTGGGGTAAGATGGAAAGCTTCATGGAGAAACATCACCCTGACTAGGTTGTTGCAAGTCATGTTGGCAACACGTACAATGACAAAGTCTTGGGCCATTTTAGGGAAGTGTTAAAGAGACGCCAGAAACAGAGCTCTCTCCACAGTTATTTTGTGAGACAGGACTCCAGTGACTCTCAAGGTGGTCCTAGTGGCATTAAGAAACAGAGAAGAGAAGCAACCCCAGAAAAGCAATTTGTACCTGAAGTGTTGCTGGAAGGGGATTCCCCTTCCAAACTGTAAACAATCCAATCTCTCTCCTCCTCCAGTCTCCCATACACTAAGAAGAATCTCCGATAAAGGTAAGTGTTATGCTGTTAATGTTTCATTCATTTCCCATTGTATTGTTTATGTACTACATGTATATTTCATGTAAAAAATTTTTTTGTTTTAATACTTCTGGGTGTCAGGAACGGATTAATTGTATTTACATTATTTCTTATGGGGAAAATTTATTCGTAAATCGTAAATTTCGTTCATAGTAACGGCTCCAGGAACGGATTAATTACGAAAAATGAGGGACCACTGTATTTATATTATTCCTTATGGGGAAAATTGATTCGCAAATCGTAGATTTCGATAATAGTAGCAACTCCAGGAATGGATTAACTACGAAGAACGAGGGACCACTGTATCTATCCCGGATAATGCCTTTCCTGTTTCATCATTACCGCCACCGCTTCTGTTTCTTGGCAATTTTAATGCCCATCATTTCCTCTGGGGGTCTCACTGTGATTCCCATGGCATTCAGTTAGAGGCTTTTCTTGCTACCCACCCCCTCCATATTTTAAATACAGGTACTCACACCCATTTTGATCCTTGGACTCACGCTCTCTCTTGCATCGATCTCTCAGTCTGCTCTTCCTCCACCGCATTAGACTTCACCTGGTCTGTTCTCCCGGATTTACATGACAGCGATCATTTCCCAATCATTCTTACTTCTCCTTCATATTCACCACCTCTTCATAAACCACGCTGACAATTTGATCAGGCAAATTGGAACCTTTACTCACAACTAACTGTTTTTAGCGAGGTTCCTTCTTTGTCCTCCCTTGATGAGCTTTTGCACCTCTTCTCGTCCTCCGTTTTAACTGCAGCTTCTCATTCTATAGCCCAAACTTCGGGCAGGCATTCTCAGAAATGCGTGCCTTGGTGGTCTCCTGCTTGTGCTCGTGCAGCACGTTTGAAACATGCTGCGTGGGACAGGTATCGGTACAATAGAACCACGGAGAGACTTCTTGATTTTAAGCAAAAGCGTGCGATCGCTTGCCGTGTCATCCGTGACGCTAAATGCACTTGCTGGCAAGATTATGTCTCCACCATCACCTCTGCTTCCTCTATGAGTGCAGTCTGGAAAAAAGTACAAAAACTGAGTGGTAAATATTCTCCTGACCCTGCTCCTGTTCTGTGGGTTGCCTGTGTTGATATAGCAAACCCACTAGATGTTGCCAATGAAATTGGCAATCATCTGGTCTGTATTTCTCAGGGGCTCCATCTATGCCCCTTGTTTCTTTCCTCAAAGTCTGCCAGAGAGTTAGCACCCTTGGATTTTTCTTCTCTCAGAGAAGAACAGTATAATGTGCCTTTTACACTTCAGGAACTGGAGGCAACACTCTCAGCTTGCCGATCATCGGCAGCTGGACCCAACGACATTCATATTCGTATCCTACAACATTTACATCAGTCAGCCCTTGCAGTCCTATTACACCTTTTCAATCTTATTTGGTCACAAGGAGTTCTTCCACAGCTGTGGAAATCTGCCATTGTTCTCCCTTTCTGCAAACCGGGTACTACAGGACATGAAGCCTCCCACTATCGTCCCATTGCTCTTACCAGTGCAGTTTGCAAAGTGATGGAATGCCTGGTAAATAGATGTTTAGTGTGGTATTTAGAGACACACAACAGTCTCTCCACTCGTCAATGTGACTTTCGTAATATGGCTTGGATACGTATGTTTGTAATGCCTTTGCGAATAACCACTCAGTTATTGCCATATTTTTTGACCTTGAGAAGGCATATGACACAACTTGGAGGTATAATATTTTGGCCCAAGCCCACTCCTTAGGCCTGCGAGGCAATCTATCATACTTCCTTAAGAACTTTTTAACTGACAGACATTTCTGTTTTCGGGTTAACCCTTTATCCAAGCTGAAGGCGTCCCCCAGGTATGTGTTCTTAGCACAACACTTTTCCTCCTTGCTATAAATGATTTGGCCTCTAGTCTTCCATCCAACATTTGGTCATCACTTTATGTTGATGACTTCGCTATTGCCTGTGCAGGCGCTGACTGTCACCTCATTACAGTTTCTCTCCAGCATGCGGTCGACCGTGTTTCCCAAATTTGGGACCACATGGGT